GATGCTACATTTTAGGATTACGTATGCTCCAACAAGGTCCACTTGTGTGGATATCTACTTGCTGAAAACGAATCCCGGCGTAGCCAACCTCAACGTGATAGGCACGTTAGCTTAATCGAATAAAATAATTTTTCGAAGTGGTCGACGCGCTGATGAGATCCAAAAAGATCGAAATCGCTATCCGCGTCTGGCACTTTCGACAGAGTACAGACCACTTCGCATTATTTTAATCGATTAAGTTAACGTACATATCACGTTGAGGTTGGCTACGCCGGGATTCGTTTTCAGCAAGTAGATATCCACACAAGTGGACCTTGTTGGAGCATACGTAATCCTAAAATGTAGCATCGTGCTGCAGATGGAGTTTACTGCACCATTTGTAGTATTTTCTAAAACGCGCTGTTAAGACAGCAGGTAAATGTTGGTCTTTGTTCTGTCGGAGCTGCCTGCGACGCGCTGATGAGATCCAAAAAGATCGAAATCGCGATCCGCGTTTGGCAGTTTCGACAGAATACAGACCACTTCGAATTGTTTTATACGAGGAATGTTTCCAAAGTTCTGGGAATTTAGTTATAATTTTTATTATTTTGTTAATTTTCGTCAATATTACAATGTAGTTTTCAGTATAATCTCCATTTAAACTGAATATATTTATCCCAACGATAAACTCAATCCACCTATATATGACACTTTTTACGTCTGTTAAACTTCAAATCGAAAACTCCGTAAGGATTTTTTTCAAATCTGGGAACAGATGATAATCACTGGGTGCAAGATCCGGGTAATAAGGTGGGTGCGGAAGTAATTCCCATCGCAAATCGTTCAAAACATCATGCGTTTTTCTTGCTGTGTGTGGTCTTGCAGTATCCTGTTGCAATAACAGACGCTTATGCGACTTTCCAGGCCGTTTTTTGACAAGTGCCTGTCCCACTGGTCCGGATATTAAATAATAATAATATTCTGCGTTAATTGTAGTACCTTTCGCCAGATAATCCATAAAAATAATCACTTCGCAATCCCAGAATATACTAAGCGTTAACTTTTCAACAGACGGAACTGCACGCGCGGGAGGCCCTTCTTCAGATTTGCGCCATTCTTTGGATTGACTCTTGGTTTCAGGATTGAAATAAGGAATCCACGTTTCGTCAGTGGTTATTATTCATTGCGAAAATTCCAAAATTTATCACCATAACGGGCTAACAAAAAAAAGTAATCAAGACATTTAAAAAATATGCAGGTATTTAACTAATTTTTCGTATTCTAATGTTTTGATTAATTCTGTTGCTTTTTAAATTACAATAATTTTGTGTACTATATTCCATTGTTAGCCTCACGGTTCAACTTTTACATTATCGTTATTGTTGGAGAGCTTTATTACATAAATTGTTTTAAATATTTAGGTTTTAAAACTTGTCGTATACATAGTTAGAAAAGAAAGTTTATTTTAAACCTATTAAAAATCTTAAATCATTCAAAATATGTCAAATTTTCTTTTATTTTTATCTAAATAGCACCTGGTTTTTCTTTAGTAAATTTCAATCTCATTGGTTATATTTTTCTCTCTGCATTTACTTATTTAAAATTCAATTTTTGTTAGATAAAATCGTCCTATTTAGCAAAAGTATTTAAGTGTAGGAGGTATTGTTCACATGTGTTTGTGCTTCGTTATCTACGAAGGACACCTAGTCAATCATGATTCATGACATTCAGGCACCGTCCTTTAATCGTAGATTAAATATGCGAAGTTAAGACGGAACTGTTAGTAACCATTTGTAGTCTTAGTTGTGAGGTCTTTTAACAATATTTTGTTTCGTGTAAATCAAAGACGATCATTATATTAGAAATTGTTTATTGTTTATTGTTTATTAGTTGAAATTGAATTACCTGCTGATAATATGTTTGAGTTTATGTGATGAAATTCACCATTAAAAGTGAGTGAGATAAACTCCAGATTCTACGGAAAATTTTCAACATGGATAACAGGTAGGCACTAACTTTTCTTCTAATACATATAATGATTTAGCTTTTTATAAGTAGGTATTCGGTAATAAATATTTTAAACGATCTGGTACATATAATTTGTGAAATCTTATACAACTGTAATTTTGTGTTATAAAATTTTACTGATAATATTCACCAACAATAATGATTAAGGTATAATATCCTGTGGCATAATTAGAGGGGGGAGAGCGGAGAGGATTGGGTGAACATCCCCGTGAAGTGTTCAAGTGGGAAAATTTTTCATTTTTACATAATAATTTTTTTAAATTTTGAACGCAACGTTTTTAAAGAGATTACTATACCTCCTAGAACAAAGTTGCATAGTTGATTTTTTATTTGTAAAATTCAAAATACGTTTTTGTCGTTAAAAGTTTTGCTAGTAGCACCTATCAAACATTATATCAAATGATGAATGAATGTTGCTCACATTGGCCATTAAAGGTATTAGAAGCCTAAAAACGAGACAAGGAGACATTCCATGTATGTCCCAATAATCTA